ATAAATAAATAAATAAATAAATAAATAAATAAATAAATCTTCACAGCCACTTTGGGGCTGCTAAAGAAAAGGCAATATTTTTATGGCAGCTTATTATAGATATAGTATATAAAATTTATTCCTAGTTCAAATGCATGGGAAGAAAGAAAAACCCAAAAGAAAGTAATTCTCTTTTAATCCTATTCACCCATCTCCTAAATAGCTGAATTCTGCATAGGACAGGATTCTTTCCTGACTATTCCAGCACCTCTTCTCCACCTCCTTCTTGCAGCAAAGAGGTTTGTGTGTCTGTGTGTATCTTCTGATCCTTCCTAAAATTCTAGTATTGGTTGCTTTGCAGTGAAAGGCTTTCAGATCATCAGTTTTGATCCAAAGCAATTGTCTCATATTGTTAAAAGGAAGGGTGGAGTCTGCCTTGTATATCTCATAGAACAAATCTTAAGTTCTTCTGAAATAATAAATGAGCAAAAAGTGCACTGCCTAAATTACCTTAAGAAGTTAACAGCAGACTCCACCCTTCTCTATGAGGCAATCACTTTGGAATCAAAACTGATGATTTGAAACCTTTCATTCCAAAGAAACCAACACCCGAATTTCAAGAAAGCATCTGAAGATACACATAGACACACAAGTAAACACACTCTTTTGCTGCAAAGAGGAAGAGGAGAGGTGTCGGAAAGGACAGGACAACGATGTAGGGACAGAAATTATGGAGATTTCTCCTTGTTATCAGTTCACAAATTCCTAACCATAAGAATTGTTCACTTATAGGATTGTTTTTGCAAACTACTCCAGGGCAGTTCTACTCTCATTACAGATCTTCTCCCAGTAGCAAACCAGAATTATTTTAACTTTATATTATAAAGTTCTCCACTGCCTGGGAAAAAAAATGAAACTGTTTCTCTAAAGATTTAGAATTCTATTCATACAGATGTTACATTTTATTGCATTGCTGATATTATGTTGTAAACTACACTGATGGATGAAGCATCAAGGTAGCTTTGATATTTCAAAGGTTGCAGTTAAAAAATGAACCTGGTTCGCTGGAATGTATTGTAGATTTTTTCCCTAGCTGTTACCCGAAATTTTACAAAACTAAATCAGGAGAGGAAATATACTGTTGAGTNTGTGCATGTGCACTGGTCAGCTGATCATCAGGTGTGCATATGCACTAGAACCCAGAAGTTCAGCTTTTCCAGGGCCCAACGAGCGAGCACAATGATGTTTCCGCGCGACCTTTTTGGCATCACTGTCTGTGATCATAATAAAGCAAAACAACAATTAAACTGCAAAAACTGCATAACTTAATTCAGTACTAAAACCATAGCATTGCACAAAGAAAGCAACATAGGCTCCAAATATACTTCTAAAGAAATAAAAATGGATTTTAAAAAAATCTTTCCAAAAAAAATACTCCATGTGAGAGCTCTCTTTTTCAAGGCCGTTTTGAAAGATGCCAGAGTTATTCTTTTCCTGGCAAGCAGCACTACATCATTCAGAAATCCAGATATATATGGATTTATAAGGGCTTTTTGGTTTCTAAGGCAGCTTGGCAAGTACAAACTGGGTAAGACCCACATTAATATGCATACCACATGACACTGTTAGTCTAACACAATCTGTAGTATGAAAGCTGCACATATTTAACACCCAGAGCTGATTTGGCTCTGTAGCATAGTCAAGACAGCCAATCCTTGGATAACAGCCAGGAAGAAGATAACCCTGGGCAATGTAGGTGCCAGTCGAAAATGGCAAACCTCCTTGTCCAAATCAAACTGCCCAGGCAACCTCCTCCCTTTAGCGGCTGACTCCATCTTATCAGCTCTTTTCTCATTTTGTCTGAGGGCCAACTGTGTAAATTCCAGACAGGTTTTCCCCCCCACCCCCTGACTTTTAGGGCCAGAATTTGTTCTTCGTTGTGGCTACAAAAAAGAAGCCAAAAGCTTATTTACAGGGACACATTTTAATATTTCTTTCCAAAAAGCATCAGGTCCCAGCATCCATCTTAACAACAACAAAAACAAACAAAAACCAGGGCAGTAATTTGGCATGGAGAGTTTGGCAGCAGTTTAGCTTTTACTTTCAAATTTCTCCTGACTAAATAATTCAAGGCTGAAAACGGTATATGTTGGATCTAGCAAGTTGGAAAGAAACAAAACGCATAATGGTGTTAAGATTATGTCTAAATCTAGCTATTCTGCTTCAGCTCGGAGAAAAAAGCCATGCTAATCAGAGATACCTATATACTTGTCTGGAAAGAGTTTCTGATCACATAATCAAGGCCTTACATGCACAGGTATGTACAAAATCAAACTGCGGGAACACATACTAGATGACAGGATTCATCACTACCAATTCGCATGTTTACCATACCTATGAATTACTTTGTAGATGTCTAAACTTTTAACACAAAAGAGCTGAGGTGGCGCAGTGGTTAGGGTGCAGTACTGCAGGCCACTTCAGCTGACTGTTATCTGCAGTTCAG